TGTCGAATTTAGGTGATAAAATCAAAATTTAAAATTACAACCTGTTTTTAGAACACCGCGGGAGAAATGTTGTTTTCCGACGATATTTGTTTCGCCGCAACACAATGTAATCGGAATATGCCACATACACCGACGCTGCAAAGCATGGTTGAGCTTTGGAACATCTCTCAGCAAAGGATGTGCCACTGAAAGGTTGTATTACGAAGCAAATACTGAGACAAATAAATAAAAGTTTGACTATTACGACTATAATAACCAATAAGATCATCTGCAGGCTAAAAGCAAGTTCTGGTGAAGGGCAGTTGAGGATGTTGATTATTAAATAATTCATATATAATCTATAAACAGAAAAAGTTATGAAGGGCGTTATTAAAATAGCATAAAGTGGATAAAATGGTATCCAACTTTTCAACTAAAAAACGACCAAGTTGATAGCAGTTGGTAAGATGTGAGGAAAGGGAATGGCCAAAGGACAAAGAAGAAAGAGTGAAAAGAAAAAAAAATTATTTCAACACTGTTAAATACCTTACCCACTTTAGCTTTGAGAGCGACCCACAAAGTATTAATATTATATGAAAATAAAAAAGCAAATTACTATACCAAATTAAAATTCTAATATCTAATTAGGGAAGGTGGTTAAGGATGATTATAAAATATTGCGACTAGGGGAAGCTGGTGAGAAGTCAAGTAAGAAACTAATAATCTTTATTTGGTTAACCAGGGGTGTCCGGGTCAGCTTGCACGCACCTCAACTAATCCCCCAAAGCTTTAAAAATTGAGGAGGGAGAGATAAAAGTACAAGAGAAAGAAACTAATTCTAAGCATCTCTCATAGGTTCACTAATCACTTGATTGACTATTGGCGGGTTTCTTCGTATGTGTTGTCCAAAAAGAGGACTCAATGATTATTCGTTCGCCGGAACCAAAAGTAAAAATTTCGGTAGATAAGGATCCCATCAAAACTTCTTTCGAGGAATGGGCCAGACCGGGTCATTTCTCAAGAACAATAGCTAAGAGACTTGATACTACCACTTGGATCTGGAACCTACATGCTGATGCTCACAACTTCGATAGTCATACTAGTGATTTGGAGGAGATCTCTCGAAAAGTATTTAGTGCCCATTTCAGGGTAAGAAGGTAAATTCCTTCAGTGGCCACCCTTATTAGTGCATGGGAGTGACTCGAACTCAAGAACCCATGTTAGATCATTTTGCTTTTTTACCATCAGGTCACCTAATAAGTGGTTAGCAACTAATAATCTTGTTTCCAGTGTGATCTAGAATTTTGGTTTGAAGTGTGATCCATGCCTCCTCATTTTCCATATTTATTGTAGAAAATTGGTCAATTGGGTGTACAATTAACCATACAATTTCCAATATCATTATCAGCTTTGGAGAATCGATCGCCAACTTCTTGCACGGAATAACTTATTAATGGTTCAAGATTTGGGTTGGCGATTAGGATAGCTATTTGTGAAATGAAGAGCCATTAAGGATATTTTATAATAACTTCAATGATCAAAGGATATTTATAAGATATTCTACGGACACTTTTCAACTAAAAATGTGCATGCGATTTCCATAAAAATCGAAAAAGGCTACGGACACGAGTTTGCACCAAATTTTTACACCAAACGATGTGTCCACTGAATCAGACAAAACACGTATCATGTTAACAAATATTCTTCGAATGAACATTATCTATCAAATATAGACGACTGTCTATGTTATTGGAGGTCGTTCATTTGAAATGGACTCCCGTTCATATTATATAGACGGCCCTCCACCTAAAATGGACGTCCGTTCATAGTTTAAACTAAAAAAATTGCGTAATTATTTATGGATGCCCCCATTCTAATTAAACTAAAAATATTTAGCCTAAATTATTTATGGACATCCGTCCTCTTTAATATTGAAAAATTTAAATTTATTTAATGAATCCTGATTGAGTTAATGCCTTATTCTTATGACACTTGTCCAATTACTTTGAATATAAACAAAATTTAATGCTTATGCTTATGACTTGTCCAATTACTTTGAATATGGACAAAATTTAATGAAAAATGCGGCATTTACTTCTTGGATTGAGACTCAAATGTTGTAAACTTTTTTAAATAAAAATGGACAAGCGTCCCTAAGACGGACACTATCCATTGAATTAAATTTTTTATTTTAAATAAGGATAGGCATCCATCTAGGTGAACGCCCGACTATAGTAAAGGACTTCTGTCCATATTATATGTACAAGAGCTATTGTTTTTTTCCATGAATAGGCGTCCATTATAAATGAACGACCGTCCAATTATCACGAACGCTCATTATTTTACTTTAAAATTTTTGGATAGTCCATAGTAAATAGACACCCATCCATAAGATGGAGACGCGTCCATTATAAGTGAACGGCAGTCCAATAATCACGAACACTCATTATTTTGCTTTAAAATTTTTGGAGGTCCATAGTAAATAGCCACATCCCTATATGATGGACGAGCGTCCATTATTTTTCTTTAAAATTTGGACGGCGTCCATCTATAGTATATGGACACGTCCATATAATATGAACGGGAGTCCATTAAATATGGGCGGGTGTCCATAAATGTTGGATGGCTGTTCATTATGAAAGACTCCATGTGTGCGCGTCTAACTGGTTGCATGTCCTTGGTACAAAAATTTGGTGTAGATTTAGGTGGGAGATTAGATATAGAACAAAATGTGCTTGCGATTAGATAGCTATTTGTGGAATGAAGAGCCATTATTTAGATGGACAAAGCCTGAGGCATCGATAAATTAATGGACAAGGCTGTTAATTTATATATAACTTCAATGATCAGAGGATATTTTATAAGATATTCAAAATCCTAGTAATCATTTATTAATTATACGATAGATCATATAACTCATAAAAACAACATCATGAATCGATGAAATTTTCTCTAGAAAATTTGTCACCTATTTTTTTTTAACCTAAGTTTTTTAATATAAAAAAATGGGAGTTACATTATCTCTATTAATATTAAAACATATCCGATATTAGCATGCATTTTATGATTAAATTTACATCGAAATTAAGATATATTGTCTGTGGCTTTTCCACCAAGCTCGAGCCAACATGAGGATATAGCTCGACCCAAAATGAGCTCAGCAACAATGATTGATCGACCCAACACAAGCTCGTCAAGTCATAGCTCGACCCAGCATAAGCTAGTCACGAACAGTTCAAGGAATCATTCAATTAACCTCTAAATTATTTCAGATCCCAGATATTACAAGAATGACTCAATCAACAACGATCATTAAGCAATCACAACACCAAATCATGAGGATATCGAAATTACGATTCAGATCGATTGTAATCCCCTAATTTTGTTTTTTTCTTTGTACAAATCTTGTATAAAAACCCCCTCGAATGATGAGGAAGGGGGATTTTTTCAAATAAGAATTGCATTGTAAGCTCTCACCGAAAATACAAAAAACTCAGTGGATGTAGGCTATTAACCTTGCCGACCCACTTTAAAAATCTCTCTATCATTTACTTTATTGCATTTATTATTCATCCACTACTGGTTATCCGTAATCACGCACACATCTATTCTGGTTCCGACAGGGTCAATCAGAATTCTCTGGTTGGTACATATTTTTGTATCAACAAGATGTATTAGAATCTTCCCTATTTTTTCATTTTTTCTTTTTTATCGAGGTTGTCTTCAATGTTTTAGAACCTGGCCCGGCTCGGCCAGTTGAACCGGGACTTAGAAGCTTCAACTGGCCAGGTTTAACTTTTTCCTATTCACCCAATACCCTAGGATTTTCGGTGAATGTAATGGTGGTGAAAGATTTGATTTCCGGTGAGTAAATCGACCAGAAATCGAACAAAACTAGCAGCGGCAACAATGAGACTTTTCCGGCGATTGACGAGGCTAACAAGGGTGAGGTGAGGTGGGTTTTGGTCGGAAGGAAAAGGGGAGTAATTCTGGGGTGATAGGGAGGGTTGTTGTTGCCAGAATCGATGGTATCTGGCCTGGAATGCCGACGTCGACGTCGGTGAGATCTGGCCGAAATCAAACCTATTTCGGCCAGATCTTGGGTATATTTTGATGGAAATGGGCTCAAAGGACGATTGGGGTTGCATCTGGGGTGTCGCCGCCGCTAATCAGTCACCGGTCGATTTGTAGTTGGGGTGTGTTTGATAAATTTCAAACCTATAGGGACTTAACTAATTTTTAGGGGTATATTTGCTAAATTTTAAAGTTTTTTATCAACCGGTTTGACCACTCCCAGGACCTAGAAGCTTTGTCGGGTTTCCCCCCGAGTTGGGTTTTAAAACATTGGTTGTCTTAGCCAACTTACGCCCCTTAACTAATCTGTTGAAACCCTAAAGTTAACGACTAGGTAAACTCTCCAGTGATTACCCTTATTAGCAACCAAGGAGGATCGCCTGAAGTTAACAACCGATAAACCCTCCAGTGGCCACCCTATTAACAATCGAGGAGAATAGAACTTAATAGTTAATACCTCTTGAGTAATACATCCAATAATTCCTTTTGCCCCACCTAACCACCAAGGAGTTGTTAATTTTAATATTCTCTATTGTTAAAGTGTTTCATTTGCATGAGGCAGAATATTTTTTATGCTTAAGTCTCTCTCTCTCTCTCTCTCATTTTAATTACAATTAATTGAGTTATCAAAGCTTAATCTATAAGCTAGCTTCATTAAAGAATGTTAATTTACGCTTTACACTGTTTATTCAAATTAATATACAATTAAATCGAGCTTATACTTAAACAAAACAATAGAAAAGTTTGGCAATTAAAATAGAAATTAATAAACTAATTAAAATTAAACAACATGTCATTAAATTAAACAAAAATAATCAACAAAGTGGCATGGTAGTCTTGTAGATATATTGAATTAAAAAAAAAAAAACGAAAAAAAAAACAAAAAGGCAAAAAAAAAAAAAAAAAGAGATAATCTCACCTAAACTTAGTCCAAAAAAGAACCTGCAACTTGCTCATCCACTTGCTTCATCCTCATTTTTTTCTTCTCAAATCACTCAAAGAAACACCATTTTTAATCCAACTTGACCTCTAAAAAATCCCTAACCCTTCTCTCTTTCCCTCTTCATATATCCCTTCCTTCATCAGAATCACGAAACAAACGAAAACTGAAAGCAAAAACACAACAAGAACAAACAAAAGAATATGCCTTCTTCGTTACAAGTTCATAGAAGCATTAACGCCACTGCAGCGCCACCGCAGAAACAAACATCCCACAAATGTTGTGATTTTGAGGTGCCTGAGACGCTGCCGCGTTACCATAACCACACGGTAGGGCCGAACCAGTGCTGTTCGTACGCCGTCCAGATGATAAATGCGTCGGTGTCGACGGTTTGGTCCGTGGTGAGGCGTTTCGATAATCCTCAAGCGTACAAGCACTTCGTCAAGAGCTGCCACGTCATTGTTGGCGACGGTCACGTGGGGACTCTGCGTGAGGTCCACGTGGTTTCCGGACTCCCCGCCGCCAACAGCACGGAGAGGCTCGAGATTCTCGACGATGAACATCACGTTTTGAGCTTCAGTGTGATCGGTGGCGAACACAGGCTCGACAACTACTGTTCCGTCACAACGCTACATCCTTCCCCTTGTGGGACGGGGACAATCGTAGTGGAATCCTACGTCGTCGACATACCGCCCGGGAACACCAGGGAGGAGACCTGTACTTTTGTTGATACTATCGTACGGTGCAACTTGCAGTCTTTGGCTCAGATTGCTGAGACTATGGCTCGAAACAACAACAACAACAACAACACTTGATCGTAATTAATAATAATTAATTATGGTTAAATTTGTTCTTAATAATTTTTTTTTGGTTTCCAATATGGGTGGGATTGATCTTCAATTAAATCTTATTGGAAATTATAGGTCGGTTTCTCATAGGTTACACTCAAAACATGGTATATGTATATGTAAGTGTTTCATTTCCTTCTTTGTTTTTGTTTGAGTTCATAGGGAAGGGAGATTAAACATAGTTGATTGTGAATTATAATTAATTAATTACTCTTTGTATATAATTACTTTCATGTTATTTGTTTTTTCTTGTCCAGACCAATTTATGCGTATCTCGATTAATCTCTCAAAATCTTAAAATATCTTTTGAGTAATATAAACTCTTCTCTATAATTTCATCCGGCCACTCAAAGGGGGTTCCTTCTTCTTGTTCTTGTAGCATGTAATTTCTAAAAATATTTATCATAATAATAAGAGAATTAGGTTGACATATCTGTTTCGATTATCATATAAAATTAACAAGTTGTACATTTGATTATTCCGTCGGCAGGAATATTTGTTCAGGTTTCTTCAAAATTTCCTGTGGATCTTGGTAATAATAAACTAAAGAATAATTCAACCAGGCAGGCCATTTTTGAAAATGGAAAAAGAAAACTCTATCTGGGAATTCTTTGTAACAACGCATGCAGGGAAGGAAAGTTTGAATGGCGATCAAATTTGGAAAGGAATATCAAACAGCTGCCTTCAAGGCAACTTGACTTTAAAGAAATCTTCCAACTTTTTTTTCTTTTTTTCTCGTAGAAAACAAGGCAAGTTGATTTGATTTATCCTCCTTTAATTTAATATTCTCTCTCCCTGTGATTTGTGTTTATATGATTATGGAATAGGAAAAGGACGGTGTGGCAACTTGGTTTGCAAGTGGGCAAGCTTTTAATTATCCGCCATGTTTATTGAATTATAAATAATAATAATAAAAAGCCAAACTCCTCCATTAGTTCCTTTGTCTCGATCATCTCGAGTGAGTTGCTTTGATTTGACCACACCATACACTTCCCGCATTCAGATTTCCTTTTGTTTAGCCACCCTGTAAAAGTTACTTTAAGCATTGATTTTCCGGAAAAATTCCTGTTTGGACAGCGGTTAAATTGCCTTGAAATGAGGGAATAAGAGTCAAAATGTGGACTTAAAAAGTACAACCTCTTGCTTTATAAAACACGGCATGGTTATGGATTGGAGGTTGAGGTTGAGGTAACAGCAATATTTGACTGCAGATATTATATGATTAATCACAATCAGTTAGTCTAAATGTTTTTCCAGAATTTATGGCACTATCTGCACTGAGTCCAGTCAAACCTAGTTTGAATTAGCATATTAATTAATTGAAGATTCGACTGATTTATTGAGTCGATATCATATATTTTAATGCCCTCTCCATGGGTTAATTTGTTTTCAATTTGGAGATAAAAGGGTTCTCCCCAAATCATCGTGATTTTATTACTGTAATTTTATCATTGATAAACAGGTTTTGATAAAAGTTAAACCAAAAAACGGTTACAATCTACTAAACTAGTCCATCCTCGTCTTAAACAAACGTGATTCTTATATCATGATAAAAGAGTTAGGATAGAATTCACTCTTAAAAAATATTATGATGAATGAATTTAAATAGAATTCACTTTTAAAAACTAACACGAGAACAAAAAATCCAACCACTTGTTTAGATAAATAATTAACTTTGAAAAGAGTTAAAATTTGATCCAGCTTGTATGAGGAATATTCAAGAGTTAATAGTATACTCAGTCTAAATTGACTATTATTTGGTGTTCTTATCGTGTAAGTTAAGTACCAGGCTCGCCATTTCTATTGGTTATTGGAATAAAATTTTCATATTGGAATCGTAAAAATCCAAAGGGTCCTTAACAATATATGAATTGGTCAATTCTCTTTAGGCCCATGAGGAAACCCTGCTTGAGTTGAACCACTCTGAGACGAAGACAATGTGGGAACATGATCTTAAAAGGCCTGCTCTCTGCCACAAATTAGAACAGCAGAAACAATACAAATGGGCCTCTGGCAATGCCAATGAGCTAGGGTGCATTCAATTTTTGGAGTAATTTTTCGTTTGAGAAAAGAATAAACAAACCAATCCAATCTCTTTACCAAATCTCCTCTGCAACAATCACACTATTATTTTACACAGATTTCTTTCTTTCTTTCTCTTCTTCACATTGATTTCATCTTTGAGTTGCGATATGAAAAAGGTTAGACTCCTCTTGTCTTGAAGAAATTAAGAGGATTCAGCATATGTGGGAATGAGATCATGAGAATATATGTATATATTTCAAGGATAAAATAGCTTGGCAAACAAGAGCTCATTCCAGGTATCTTGAAGGCCAGGCAAACACCAATGTACACAATCTGCATAGCTAAAGGGGTTTGCTTTCTGCTCAGGCGTCAATGGATTCCATTGCTTCTTGTAAATCGATGTGTGCGCATCCTTTCGATAATTCGAAAGTTGTGTAATGTTCAGGAATGTAATGGGATACTTGGAGTGGCTGAACACTTCTCCAATCACCTCCATTATGCTTCTTCTGCAATCTGAACCCCAGTAGTTTTCGTCTTCTATCAATGTCGTTTCATTGTAGCAGTTCTTCCCCGGTTCGCCTCCCCAATCTATGCTCCTGCAAAACTTGGAAATATTAGCCCTAAAGCTCTAACAATTAGAGAACTAAAACAGCAGGCAAAAAAAAAAAAAAAAAAAAGTGATATAACTTACTTAGCATGAGAAGGCGACATGCTAGCGAAAAAGACTCTGGTTTTTTTTCGATCCATGTTCAATTTCACCCATCTAAGCATGCTTTTCATTGCCATACGGTAGGCGTCCTCGGTGGAAAGCTTTACAATTTCTTTCTCTTCGTCGTCGAAAGATCCCTTCCTGTAAAACAAATTAAATTAATTAACATGCGCCATTATATACTATTGCTACATTAGGCAATGAGGATGAAGAAGGTACAAGATCTTCATGTCGAGGCCGGTCATCCACCATAGATAAGTATTGAACACCAAAATGTCAACTCCTTTCCAATGCCGGCCATGCTTATTGATGGAACCTTTTCTAACAATCCTATCAGCTATTCTATGAACGACAGCATCGTCCGAATTTGACTCAAGAAGAAATGGCGCCCAGTAGAACTCAATTGTGGCATTGTAGTCCTGAAGCAATAATTAATCAATTAATTAATGTGAGAGGAAAGCTAATTAATTAAGGTGGTAACATATATATATATATATATATATATATATATATAACAAATATATGTCACCTTGGCTGTGAAAACTGTTAAAGAACCAGAGGTTTCCATGGATTTGGCATGTTCAGGGATGTTTCTGTGAAGAAGACACACAATGGAAACATACTGCCCACGATTCAATGAGTCACCAACAAACATCATTCTCTTTCCCCGAAGTGTTTCCAGCATCAATGTTGCATTAAAACTGTAATTATATATAAAAATTCATGACCAGAGATTAACAATATCGATCAATAATCATAATTAAGCTAATTAATAAACAGTCTTTGTAGAAATGAATGTTCAATAGATAAATACAGTAGTACTCAGTACAACTGCCAATAATGAATGGCCAAAACTTGAGCTTAAACTTAACAAATATGGTCAGCTTGGTAGGTAAATTGACGATGAAATCAAAGAATGGTACCACTACAACCATAATGTTATCGATTAACACTATGAATCCTCACTGAGTCTGAGTAACTTAAAAGTAAACCTGACTCGATAATGGCGAATACATAAAAGTGATTAACGGTGGGTCCTATTATTAATAATTGTGGGTCCCCCTAATGATGACGTGGACAGAGAGCTATATAGTAATGACAGCATTTGATTTGACAGAGACAACCGGCGATCTACCAGGAATCGCCACGTACGTGACGTACCTAACCTCTAACCATGCAGCAGCAGCAGCAGCTGCCGGCACGCCACCTCTATTCACTCAAACAAAGCCAAACCACAAAAAGTTCATTTCATCTAATTCTTTCTCCCAATGTTTAATCTTTTCCATTACAGTAATTAAATCGTTCAAGAAGCTTCATAATTAATAATCTTTTTAGAATTGTGTCGGCAACTGACCTGGGAAGATCACAGCCGTGGGGCTGCCATCTCCAGTACTGATAATCTCTATCAGGCCTTCCATGTTCTTGACACGTCAACTGCGGTTGTATGTACGGACACTCCGATTCTTCATACAGCGGCCGAGTCGACTCGTCCCTCACCCACCTCCCACTGAACACATCACATCCTTCCTCCGTCTTCCCTATCGCGAACGGTAGCTTTTTCATCTTCTTCTCTAACCCAAAACAAAACTAAACTCAGTAAGTACATAAGGCTTACAAAGTTATAATAGTAAATAGAAAAAATGACTCACTGGCGGCGGAGATGGGGCGGCCAGGGAGGGGCTCGAGTTGGCCGAAGATGCACATGAAGTCTTCGCCATAGAGGATGACAACGAAGACGATGAAAGCGAGTAAGGTGAAGAGATAAGGAGAGAGACGAGGTTTACTCAGGACATTATAATTAGAGGAAGAAGAAGAAGGCAAAGGAGGTTTCATATTGTTAATCTGTAAAAATGTATCTCTACCGTAGAGACATGCAGAAGAAACAGAAACAGAAAAATGGTGGAGGGTTTAAGGAATGATTGCCGTTAGTACCTGGGTAGTGTCTTTTGATTTGAATTAATATAGGAAGATTTCAGGTTGGAGAAATCAATGAAGAATTTCATATATAATAAGTTAGATAAATATGTCTAAGTCTTAGTTCTTGTATGATTTGTCTGTTTTAACTGTTTGATTTTGCTTGCTTCAATTATATGATATTAAGGGTTTTTAATTAAGTTTTTATTATTAATTAATTATTGTAATTAGATAGATAATGTTAGTGTTAAAGTCCTAGATTGGTTAGAGGGTTTTTTAGGACAAAATTGTACGGACCCCAAGGTCTAAGGCCGACAATACCTCAAGAAACTCACCTATCATGTGTCTGAATCTAACATACGTAAAGAGTTGAAGTCACTTATATAGTAGAAGAACACTCTCATCACCCAGAGACGTCTTTTTAGGATAAAACCGTATGAGTCTTAGATATCTGGATTCAGCATATATCAACAGTAGATAAATCAAGCAAAAATGATTTAATTTTATATAGAAATTGTATAAAGAATACGAAACTTTACTCAAGGGATTTTTTTAAACTTCAAGAGATTATTACCAAGAAGTTCAAGCCACCCATTGTTTACCATAACATTGGATAAAGCTAATAGAGGTAATTCTACGCAATTATTCCATTTCAGAAAACAAGTTCAAGATCAAACCCTAATTCGTAATGTCTTAATGATCCATTAGACTCAACCAGTTTATCCAAACGCAAGTTGGGGTATGATAGCCATAGCCAAGCCAACCATGGTCAATTTTAATGCTTCAAATCATTGTTCCGAAAGGTGAAAAAGTTAGTGGGTGGGTACTACTACTGCAATGGATGAATGATTGTAAGAGAAGCCATTGTTTTCCCTTAGCTTCTAAGTTAAGTGAAGTTCTTGAAAGGTTGCATATCATTGTCTATACTTTGATAATTTATACACAGAGCCTTTAATGGAAAAGAGTGAGCAACTTAAATTATATATATATATTTTTTTTTAATGGGTTTTAGGTGAATATTTGGTATCATATCAGCTTCAAGTTGTTGTTGCCTCTCACATGTTAATTTCTTTATTTACCCTAATAATAATCCTCATCGAATACAACCAACTCACACCAAAGATTGATTAATTTATTCTATGCTCACTCATAATTAGTTGCCTACGGATTTCTCTTGATTCTATATATGATGCTTTGAACTTGAAACACACATATACAGTCTTGATTCGGTTCTTGGGTCGGTCGGTCTGACTGATGGGTCAGGCTGATGATGTCACGTTGACGTTAGCATGACGTAATAAAATTTTAAAACTTTTCTCGTTTTGGGTAGAATTATGAAGGACTTGAGGGAACATGATCGTTCTTGCTTGAAACGGNGATTTCTCTTGATTCTATATATGATGCTTTGAACTTGAAACACACATATACAGTCTTGATTCGGTTCTTGGGTCGGTCGGTCTGACTGATGGGTCAGGCTGATGATGTCACGTTGACGTTAGCATGACGTAATAAAATTTTAAAACTTTTCTCTTTTTGGGTAGAATTATGAAGGACTTGAGGGAACATGATCGTTCTTGCTTGAAACGGCTTAGAGGATAGACAAACGACCGTTCATTCTCTTGGAACATACATTTTTTATTCAATCCTTTCTCTAACCCAACAGTTGAATCACGGTTCAACATTGTTTTGCCTATTCAACCTTGGGTCAATCCAGTCCAAGTTTTAACAATACAATGGACTAGATTAGGGACCAGTTCCCCATCAAAATGGTCAGTAAGATTCATGTTTTAAAACCATGATTCCAAGAAATTATTAAGTCTCAAGTGTCCAACAATCTTTTAAAATGATTAAAAACCTTAATATTATCAAAAACCCGTAAAAGTTCAAAAAATGGGCCTAGTAAGGAGTATTTAACATTTTTTTAAAATCTATACAGTGTTTGAAATTTAACGATCTCTTAAAGGTGGATGAAATTAATTTTACTAAATTTTTTTTTTTATATTTATTCAAGAAAGAATGTTGATTAAAGCAAATTTATAATTTTGATTTTTGTTTTTGTTCTAATTATCCTCCATTAGTTCATGGGTCAAAATCTAAAGTATGAAAATAATTTATTAAATTATAGGCACAAATTGGGATGATGCATGATTTGTCTTAAGAATTTTTTTACTTAATTTAGTAACAGAAGCTTACATATTTATTATACATAATGTGGTTGAAGTTCAAACGTAGACATGAGTAATTAAGAATTAAATAAGTAATTAATAAAATTGTCAAAGAGGTGGGTACTTGTTAAGTGTACATTTTAGGTGATTAATTATTTTATTATAAGTAGTCATTCGACAATCGTTTTCTACACTCCAAACAATGGAGTAGTTGATTCACGGCTGGCTGATGAAATTTCAATCACCAAATTTTGTTTTATACATCAACTACTAAGGACTTCTCTCTATGCTTCATTCTCAATGGCAGTTTACTTGCTTTCACACCTCATATTTGTTTCTAGGTGGGAATTATTTTTTTTTTTATTTTTTTTTTTTATGATCAAAAGTGTCCGAGCCAGTTTGTGTACACCTCAACTAATCGCTCAAGACTTTAAAACTGACGACAGGATAAGAACTCTAGTGGCTACCCCTATTAACAGATATGAATCGAACTTAAAATCTTTTGAGTAATATACCCAAAAGTCATAATTGACCATTCAACCACCCGTGGTGGTTTATGAGAGATAATCTTCGGTAAACTTACTTCTACTTTTTACGATTCAAGGATTCTATGTTCATGTGGGCAACACAAACACGTCCCATGATTAACTGGTTGTACATACAATAAAATAGAGAAGAGTAAACGGTTTATAGATGATATTTATATTAACAGAAAAAACCCATAATTAATGTTAGTTAATAAGATATTATTGCTAACAAAGTAAGTTACATTTTCATGATTAGAGGCTTCTAATAGTTTATGGTTTTTGAACATGATTGCATACAAACCAAAGATGTGGGATGTTCATATAATTATGTCAAAACATCTTTATCAGTGGTGGTAACTGGTAACCATTTTTGATGACTTGTAGATGAAGGGTTGGTTTGGAATGATTATAGTTTAATGGAATGGAACCCACACTTAACTCTTGCTTTTAAACTTAATTTCCAATCTGTATAAAGGGGAAGACCAGGCTCTGAATCTGGCCATTCAGCTCTTCCCCCAGAAAAAAGTTCCTGCATAATAAGCATAGCCACTTGAAACTCATTGCATCAGAAAGGGGAAGTGATTGTTATATTGATTTCCTTTTCTGTAAAAAAACCCTGGCTCATTCCTCATTATAAGCAGTGAATTGCATGGAAGGTAGATTTTATCTTCATTCTCTACAATCAACTTCAAGCAGTAGATTTTACCGTTTACCCTAGTTTCTGGGCATCTTCCAATGATCATGCTTCAGAAACTCAGGTCATTCGGCAGAAAAACGCTTGAAAACAGGTAAAACTCAAACGATGTGTATCTACCAAAATGTCATTCAGAGAGAAAATGAAAAATATATTGGTAACACATTTTTCCCTAGTCAGCATTTTAACAGACTACAATAAATGGAATAGTAAACAATTATTCTTTTTTACCAAAAAAATCATATGATTGATGGGAACTTGGAAGCAGAAAACGAGCACTGTTTATATGTATATGCCACAGAAATGTGAGAGCTCTGCAGCGAACACTAAGAATCTGCCATGACAAAGCAAACATGCAAAACTGTAGGATATTGCCCAGATGCAAAAACTTTGCACTTGTTGGCACATATTGCATTGCGGAACTGAGATATCTAAAAACTGATATATCCACTACATCTAGAGCAAGCTTGCAATTGCTCAAAAGTTGACACGAGAATAGGAGCTTCGATGCCCTTCAGACGATCCTCTAAATCTCCGTACCAAAGATGTAAAAAAACTCTGCGAGAACAGGGGAACAGGATACATAATTGTAACACTAATAAGTGCCACAATACTTTCTTCTAGATATTGAGATTGAATATAAAACATGTAAAATTACAACAAATGAACTGGTAGTTGAATTAGTCTTTTCCCTCCTGGCCATTGAAATATCCATATTACCTTATGATATTGCTCCCATCTAACATTGATTTTGTTAAAAGCTAAGCCTACATGCATGGCACGCTATTTGAATCTTCTTTTCAATTTTTCCCTTCCCATAACACCAACAACTCAAGTTATATAAATTACAATAAAAAGAAAGAGTACCTGTGTTCTGTGCGGTAAGCTGGTCCAAGTATCCAAGTTTGGAATTGCCTGAAGCAGTAAGAGGAGAAGAGTGAAAATTAGAATAACATGTATACTGCACATATAGGTGCCAAGAGTCAGATCAGTCTCTGATGAGAACCCACTCCCAAAACTCAACAAAACAGTAAAATAATAACAGCCAACAGCCAAGACATAGGAAGAAAATAGATATGTGTATTGATACTCAACAAACTGATAACAATGGCAGCACACAACAAAATATACCCGGCACACCAACCCAAAAGGACAAAATCAAAATATGAAAGGAAAAACAATGCTGGACTTTGAGGGCCAGCTCCTCCCTAATTGCTAACTTCGAGGGTTAGCTCCTCCCAAATTTCCCTATATTCTCCTCTCCCCTAATCTGCTCTCTCCCTCTCTTTTTATCCTCCAGCTCTCTCTCTCTCTCTCTCTCTCTCTCCCTAACTAAATTCCTTTGCTGTCCCAACCCCCAATCGCCACCTGTCCTAGCCTAACCCATGGAAGTTTCCTGCCAACATCACCAAAATCCCCTACTTCACAACCTTCTGTTTCCTACAATAGACCAGCACACTAAGGGTCTCATCAGTCTCACACATAAAAACATGTGTACTGTACATGTACTACTATCAGTATCTGTAGGCAAGAGCATTAATTTCCACCCAATATTATAAAATTGACAATACTCCAGCTCATACAAGTAAAGTATGTTGCATTCACTCAGCGAGGCATAGAAAAGAAAATGACAAGAATTTATATCAAATATGAGGAAATGATTAAGTGATATTAAAGGGAAAAAATTAATAATGAAGTGAACACAACCACAGCAAACAGGAATAACATATAAATCAGACTGCCACCATACAATTAGGAAGTGAGCAATGGAAGGAGATTAATGAGGTCATTCAACGCTTGCTTGACATAAGAATGCCTTGGTTTCTATTCAAGATAACAGAGACATTCCTGCCCACCACCATTTCTTGTCATCATTCTCATCCCAATCTAATACACCATCAAAGCTCACTGGATTTAGCCAGTGATCACCTATTTACTCAAAGTGTTTATGAGCCTCACATTAGATGGCACAGACTCAACTATGTCCATAATGGTCCAAGGTAGAATTACAGAGCAAGAAATTTTGAAGCACAGCATAGATGAATTGCTTTGACTTAGAAGGAAAAAAATATATGGACCAGATCATCTGTTAATAAGAGTTGAATTATAGAGAAAATTAAAAACATAGAATCAAAGAGAAAACCTACATTTACACCACGAACTCCAAGGAAAAAAAATCGATAAACTGTACCAGCTAGCAGATAGCTTCCAAAGAGGCAAAAGATTCTGAAAATCAGAGCAACAAAGTCAATCTATACTCCAACTATAACGAGTCACCAAATTGCTTCCATTTGTAAGTAAATGCTAGGAAAGATTAAAACCATTACATTGTTATGAAGGTTCCAAACCAGCCCAATCCTCTTCCAGCAATAGATACAACTGTTGCACAACCAGCAGGATGCCGCAGCACTGTAGCCTGTTAAAGAAGTAAGATAATCAACTTGAAGGCTACCTAACCCGTGTGCGTGTGTATGCCACAACTACACATTGCTTGTATCACAAATTAGAGGTCATTTGATTTTAGAAGTCTAAATCATAAAACATTAAGGAAAGAGGAACTGTATGATTTTTCTAAACACTCACAAAATCACAGGTCCCTAATTTCTCCATAGACTGCGGCCCCTGTAAAAAAGAATAGTAGGGAGTTGATAGGTCATGAACGAGATACCAAAAACTATGAGGAAAATCTAATATATTAAAAATTTAAAATAATTCCAAGGAAAAATCCTCACTTGAACTCCATCCTGATCACAAACGACAGTTACAGAAAGCGAACAATTCTGCTTTGGGCCAATATTTGACATATTAACAATGACACCCTTGTGGGGATTCTTTTTATCTGTCATGTTCATAATAATAGAGCAATCATCAGTACGCTAGAACTGAATTCACATACGAATGTGAAATAAATTATCTAATTAAGCCATGGCATCAAAAGTGATGAAAAATAAACACAAATACACATATTTACAGACGATGCTATAGGCAAACTACTTTAGTGAACATATTATGTATTACTAAAATGCATGGCAGGAAATCATACCCAGAATAAAAAAGAAGTATCATTTTTTTTTTTTTTTTGGTAAAAGACTGAAGAGATGGCCCAAAAAGATAGAAAGGGGCAAATAGACCTTACCCATAACCTTTATATTTGTGCGTGATACAAGCCCAATAGTATTGCATACATCATAACCTGCATATACCACAAAGATCCTATTAGAAGCCTAAGAATGATTATCTCTTAATCTAGTATACTGTCGATCATGTTCCAATTATAAAAGGACCCAATAAATCTAAAAGGAGATCATCAAGGTTGACAATAAATTGAGTCATGTTATGTTTTTGTGATTTACATCTCTTCTCATCACTTCCCCTTCTTCATTGGTTCTACCACAACTTAATTCAATAGAAATCCCAAAATTAAAATATAATTTTTTTACCATCGATGTTGTTTGCCACAAGTGCACTACATTCTGATCCACAGCGTGATGGACCCCCGCAGTCCTACAAAACCAAGAGAGCGTCAAAACAAGACATGAAATGAGTTAGTCAATAATGAATACTCAATATAGCCTATTAGGCTCATCAATATTAAGATTATAAATCTGATAATTTCCAGAAGGAATTACCAAGCAGTCAACACATCTAGGTGGGTCATGATTGAATAACATCTCATCGCAAAGCTGCTCCAAAAGAAAAAAAAAAAACTCAATCATGAATCAACTACAAGTAAAGCCATATCAAGTGAATAACTGTCTCTAAAAGGCCATTGTCTAGCTGGATCAACCATAGCATTTGAACTCTAATCTAAAAGCTACTGAGCCTAAATTCAACAAGGTTCTAGTACAATCCATTGCAGCATTGAACCATCAAAATTCCCAACTTAAGTAACTTAACATGAACAAGTCAATTATCAGACACAACAACCAACTGGGTATTTTTACATAAGCACATAGGAATCAAACAAGAAAGGGTAGTTATACAGCCTAAAATGTATGGAAAAAGCTCATAGTAAAAATAAAAATCACTAATTCAACAAAGAAATAAAATGTGACCTGATGGAGCCAACCTGAAACCAGAGCACAGTCTCATTCACAGCCACCTTATAGAATCTGCAGCAATTACATAAACGAATTTCAGTTAAATCACCTTATCCAAAAAAAGAATTTCAGTTAAATCACATCTGCCCCATTAAAAATACTATCAAAGAAAACAAAATACTATTCAATTATACATTTTTCAATAAACTATAAATTCCCAAAACCCATTTCAACTTTGAGACTGACCATTAAACTAACCGTCAATGTTGAAAAGCGCCTAGCTTTAAGTAACAAAAACAATTTTTTTTCTCAATTTTTTTTTTTTTTTAAAGTTTGTAAATTTAAATCAATTCCGACCTCCTACACAGTCACAAGAGATTCAACAAGCTGAACCAGCGAGTATTGACAAAAAAATCAACTAGTTAATTGCATTAGTTTATTTCAATAACTCTTGCAACCAATCACGAACGATTCCCGTTCAACTGAGAATAAAAAATGATAACATAAACAATAAGTAGTCACATTAAGTCCCATTTTTTTAGCTGGAAATCACGTCATGCAAAATATAAACCGCCCAGATCAATAAACAAAATTACAACACTAAATGGAGAGAAAGTACTCACCCGTCTTCACTGAGGACACCGTGAGGGAACATAGCGAGAGGAGTGGCCAAGCTATAGTTAATGCGCTTGTCATGGTCAGTGAAACTGAGTTCACAGACGGCGGAGACCGAGTAAACACGGAGAAGAACAAGAGCTAAGAGAATGATGAAAAGCCATTTTAATAAATCGCCTCCCATCTTCATCATTGGAACCGACGAGCCAGGAATTTTTTTCGGGGGTTTTAAATTTGTTTACCCTTTTTCCTGATGTTTTATTTTATCTCATTGTTGCAGAAAGACAAGGACTCGGGGAGAGGTCCGAGATGGGGAAAATGGCACAAGAGAAGAAAACAATTACAACTTCGCTACTTGACGAAGAGTTTAAGTTTTAGTTTAATTCTGTCAAACCCACAAGTTTAGAAGTATTCTAAAAAGCCCCCAAAGCTTTTGTTTGTTCCATATAATAATATTTTAATTAATGTAATCAGTATTGATTGAATTATCAAATCAGCATTGTGATATCACTCAACTTTAAAATTTTACTGAAAAAATAACTAAATTATCTCACTGTTTTCTACTGTGTCGTGAAATTTTTGACAGAGACGAAGGTACTCAGATGTGAAAATTGAGAATAAAGGGAGGTACTTAGAGACAAATCTTTAGAGTGAATGTTATTGGTCAATTGGTAATTAATAGTTGTTTGGTACTTGGGGCCAGGGACAAAACGACAGCTACATTCACTGCTTTGTTTCAATTCTGGATTGCAAGCAGCGAAAATCATATACACCCAACAAATATGGCAAATCCCAGCTAAAACCTCTATAATAATTCATCATATATCTTTATAGAGCTAGTCTTCCCTGGATAAACACAAATACATCATCTAGATTTTTCAGAAGATGAACTGGACATACAATAATTCTGATAGGATTGCATACCATTCCCGAGTTTCTTCGCAAGTTCAAAATTTGAACATTTCCGCAGCTCCATGCACACAGATCAATCTGATAAGTGTTCATGACACTCATTGCACAGATATCATGAAGCAAAATGTAGACATAAGGTCGTTAATTGGATGCTGGTAAAGCTGGATAGATATCGTTCGAAGCAAGAGAGCAAGTAAAAAAGCAAATTGTTGCAGAAAATAAAGAATAAAACAGATTCAACATTTGGACTAATAGCCACACACATGCAGGCATAGGGTTTAACACGTTATAAATCAGTCAATCCACCTGCACAAATACAATTACTGCTTATGCGAAGATAATAGCACATAACAAAAAGAATGAATCCTCTCAAAGTTACTTCCTTGACAACTTAATATAATGATACTTAATGAATACTTCTTCCATGACCATTTCATGTACTAGTGTTTCCTGAATTTGACAGACAAAACCTTAGCTGCTACTCTCTCTTTCGTTATACTCATCATATCCAATCTTACAATAGAACATCCAAGAATTCATGAATCAGGGAAAAGTATTAAAGACAGACAGAAATAAGAATGATCAAAACCTTTCTGCCAGTCTAGCACTAACTGCTCTAAGTTTTGAGTACACTTTTCCAGCAGGTGAACCTAAAATGAGGCTGCAAAGTGAATCCCTTGCAATTTTAATGCTGGCAAAAGATCCAAGTATGTGAATTTTTGTGTCTGCAATCACAATCCTTGTCCTTGTCGTATTTTCAATAGTAAACTTTGTTTTGCCACCTTTACCAGACAGCCTTCCGATAGCACGAGACAAATGCTCACCACGAAGTGTTTTGACATCCTTGATCTCAAAAGATTCCACATACAGCTCATCAATACGCAAAAGAGCAATAGCATCTATAACATCGAAACCTAGCATGAATGCGTGCACAAAATCCGCGCACTTCTGTAGGTTACTAATGTCTGGTGTGTCTGGTCTAGTCTTCAATTCAACTCTACGAGCCTTGAGATTCATACGGATGTCAATCTTCATCTGCTCATATACCGGAGTGTAGATGTCCATCCATGCTTTCTTGAGAGGTGAATACCGATGAGGTGGGACAGAGACCCTCCGGAACTGCACTCGACCATCAGACATCTCATGTGCCTTCAAAGGCTCAAACTGTGGCTTTGGTGGCAAAGAGCCAGACTCCTTTTGGGTTTGAGATGAAACTGTTTCAACTTCCATGGTAGCAGGGATTTGTCTGAACTGTATAGTGCAAAAGCAAATTCTTCCCTTAAAAAAATTCTGTTGGATACGCATAAATGCAAATTTCATACTGTTAGCCACGCTGTGGCTCCATTCATTTTCAAAATTCCAATTGGAAATCAACTATTACCATTAAAAACAAGAAAAGCAATGGCCAAAACAATAACCAAACAAGACTAATACATAAACCAGCTTTAAATGAACCCAGCAAACAATCAAAGAAAATGCACGTTAACTTCCCTGACTGTACCACGGCACAGGCCAAATAACTGGCAACATTACTCGAAAGGTTTGATTATAATATAAATGATTTTTCAGTTATACAACTATTTTATATAATACCGTCCCTAAACTATAGTTACATGAAATCAAAACTTTGCTACTCATAACTAAACCATAAATTATCGGCACAGTGTTAACACAGGGCTGGTGTCCTAGTATAACCCTTACTTCACATCAAAAACTGATAACTCTAGCAATACACAAGTATAAATATGTTGAAAATTGAATCCTATCACCAAACCTAGCAAAGATAGGAACACATAGAAGTTTCAAATTTTATTCATCTTATTTAAAAAAGATGAGAGGAGCTTGACGAGAGGATTTAATTTACCTGATACGAGCTTTCTTCTCCGATCGATGTCGGCTACCGACGGCGCAGTTTAAGGCTCGAGAGAAGTAAAGCTGAAAGGGGTTGGCGGCAGAAGGCTTCCGAGTATTTGTAATGCCCTACTATTTTGATACGACACCGTTTGGTCACTGTTAACCTAGCCTGTGGATTTAATTATAACTACTTTAGGATATAATTGTAAAATCAGTACTTAATTGGCTATTTTCTAAATTTTAAAAATGACCATTTCCTTCTTTATCAATAATGGACAATTTATTGGAATTCCCTCGTAAATATTTAACCACTCCATGGGAGAAACGACGTTTCGATGCCGTTTTGGTTCGTAATGCAGTAATAGCCTAATAGGTACGGTGCCTAAAAAATTTCGAAGCGCGCTTCTCTGGAACTCTGTAACTGCTGCTTACTGCTATGGACTCTAGCCCCAACAAAGCGTTAACGGACACTCGCTTTTCGATCTTAAGCCGCCGCTCTCCGTCCGGTTCTCGAAGCCTTGACAGAACCGGCTTCGAGTTCTGTACGCCAGTTCAAGCCGCCACTATCCCTTTGCTATCAGCTAGAAAGACGTCTCTGTCGACGCCGCCACCGGCTCCGGTAAAACTCTAGCTTTTTGTCCCTTCGTGGAAATCCTCCGCCGCCCCACTTCTCCTCCAAAACCTCACCAGGTCCCTCTTGCTTGAAGTACATAGAAAAGTTCCAATTTTTAGAAGACCTCAAGAACTGAATTAGCTTTTACTTCAGTTACTGGAGATTTTTAGTTAATAATTTGTATTCTTGTTATTTTATTGCCCATTTTAGCTGTGTTTTTGTGAGATAAGTAATTGGTTTGCTATGTTACAGGTATGGGAATGATTATATCGCCACAAGGGAGTTATCATCGCAATTTTATCGTTGCTCAGCCTTTCATTTCTACGTTGTCGAATGTTAAGGCTATGCTTCTTGTGGGTGGTGTTGATGTGAAACAGATATGAAGAAGATAGAGGAGGAAGGAACAATTTATTGATTGGTACGCCTGGGCGGTTAATGACATAATGGAACGTATGGTGTTTTAGATTTCAGGACCTTGAGGTAGTTTGTTTTGAAGAATTAATCAATTCATTTTAATTACCAAATGTAGCAATTTTTATTTTTTGTATAAGCAATTGAGAATTTGCTATATGCGAAGTAGCATTGATTATGTTTGTTATGCGGAGATGACTGGATTTTTTACAGCGTTTGGTATGCAGATTTTGATTCTAGATGAAGCTGACAGACTCTTAATATGGGATTTCAGAAACAGATAAGTTACATAAATCTCGTTTGCCAAAGCTTCGTAGAACTGGTCTTTTTTCAGCTACTCAAACGGAGGCTGTTGAAGAGCTGTCCAAAGCAGGCTGAGGAATCCTGTGAGGGTTGAAGTTCGAGCAGAAGCAAAATCGCAGCCTGGTTCAGCATCATCTCAACATTAGCCTCTTCAAAAACACCTTCAGGCCTTCCCCTTGAGGTATGCTGCATGTGGATTTATTTATTTACATTTATGTTGCATTTGGCTACGCAGAACTGAATTGAATTGATTGAATTCATAGAATTGCAATAAGAATATTATTATTCTGTAAGACTGAATTCCACTATTTGATTCAACCTTGATTAACCTAGATTAATGATATTCCTTCTTCTCAAAGCCTAATGATTGCATGCAATATGAATGTTCATTCTTGGTTTTCAAAACTTATTGAGTCTTTGCAATTTGCATTGAAATTGATTTCTTCTTTGATTCTGCAGTATTTGAATGTGAAAGATAAGAAACCATCACATCATTGATCTCCTTATTAAGAACAGTTCTAAAAAACTATAATGTAAGTTCTACGTGGACATTTCTCAAAGGATGGATAGTGCAATCTCTTTGAAACTAGGGGCCAATGAGCTATCATAATTGGTTAAAATGATTTCCTTCTTGCTTCAGATATTTTATGACTTGTGCTTGTGTTGACTACTGGGGAGTTGTTCTTCCGCGTTTGGCTGTTTTAAAGGGTCTTTCTTTGATCCCCCTTCATGGAAAGATGAAGCAGTAATATTTTGGATATTGGAATAGTTTGTTAGTCTCTAAGATACAATTTTGTAGTGCCCATTCTGTATTCTGACTTATTTTAACTTTTTACGCCCATAGACTCTAGGGAGAAAGCATTAGCTTCATTCACGTCCCTTTCAAGTGGCATTCTTCTATGTACTGAGTTGCAGCACGTGGACTTGACATTCCCGGTGTTGATTGTATAATTCGGTAGCTTTGCAAAATACACAAATTACACTTTTGGATTCATGTAATTTTACAAATGCTTGATTTTTGTTTGTTACTTTTGCAGTATGATCCACCTCAAGATCCAAATGTTTTCATTCACCGAGTTGGTCGAACTGCTCGATTGGGTAAACAAGGAAGTTCAATTGTTTTTTTATCACCAAAGGTATTTTTTGTGCATCTGTTTGGTGATTATTTGTTAGACTTGTTTTCCTCTAAGAAAATTACAAGGTGAATGTTTATTTGTTTTATGCAGGAGGAAGCTTATGTAGAATCCTGCGCATAAGAAGGGTTCCTCTACAGAGAAAATCACTGATATGTTTCTGATGTAGTTCCTCAGGTAAGCACAATTTCTACAGTGGATACTCTTCCCATTTTAGCTCATGGTTTGAATTGTTCTGGATATCTTGCTATTAGCAAAAGAAAATGATTATAGGCGAAATTGATATCTCTAGAACCATGGCCCAGCTGGCCCGAAATAGTATCTACATTGTTTTTCACCTTATTTTATGGCAATTGATCCAATATCTGCCCACACTTGTTTCAGATACGGTCTGCTGCCAAAAAAGATCGTGATGTGATGGAAAAAGGACTCAGAGCATTTGTTTCTTATATCCGTGCTATAAAGAGCATCAATGCTCTTACATCTTCAGGTTACTACTCTTTTTTTTAGTCTATAGCTGTTTGCTTTTATCTATTTTTTTATTAACACATTTTTCTTCTCTTGTATTTTACAGGTGGAAAGAACTTGAGATTGGTAAGTTGGCTATGGGCTATGGCTTACTACAGCTTCCTTCAATGCCTGAGGTAAAGAACCATTCACTTTCCACCAAGGGTTTCACTCCAGTTGAAGAATCAATTGGGAGGACATCAAGTATATGAAGAATTCACAGGCTCTTGTTGATTCAATATTCTTTTCTTCATAGTTTTAAGTATGAGAGGAAACTAGATTCTTGTATTAGAACCATCATTTTTATTTTTATTTTTCTCTCTAATGTGCTTTTCTACATGTGCTGTGATAATATCAAGCCTGCAATAATAGCTGAAAATATCATTTTTCAATTAGGACAAATATCGTGAGAAACAGGAAGAAGAATCTGCAGCAAAGAAAGAAGCACAACAGCAAGAACCAAAATTCCAGAAACCCACAAAACACCAAAGGATGCAACTACTGTTATGAGGAAGAAAACAGCCAAACAGAGACGTCTCCCAAGCAGTTGAGGATGATGATGAGTGGGCACGAGATTACCGTCTACTCAAAAAGCTGAAAAAGGGAAATATAGACGAAAGTGAATTTGCGAATTAACTGGAACTGAAGAGTTACTTTGAGTGCTGTCTAAATTATGCAGGTTGTGGTCTTGCGAATTTAGATGTTGACTGGGTTTGGGTAGGACTCAAAATGAAGACAGACTTTAGACCCACAATAGTCAGTGTCCACACTTCTACAGATTAAATGCCATCGTCGTAACAGAACTGTGACAGACAACTTCAATAGTGATGGAGCTTCACTCTTGGTTATTCCCTGTGAGGTCTTAAGTGAGTGGTAATTTTGGTGCTGAGAGACCTTTTCTTTTTCCTGGTATTCCATGCATAGCGTTGTTAGGTATTGTTAGGTCAGACATAAGAGATATGCAGCAAAAGTAGAGATGTTAACACAAAAATGTACCTCAACATTTAGTCATTGGCAATGATGCAAAAATATTTAATAAAATTTTTAAACTGTGGTATATTGAATTGTCGATTGTAAAATTAGCCCTGGTTAAACTGGAATTGACTATTGACAGGATAGTTCCTATAGCTCTGCCATGAATTGGATAAAGAACAGTGGTGTAGATGCAACTTCAAAGACTTGCAGAATTAATATAGTCACGTGACCATCAATATTATCATCTATTAGACAGCCTGCTGTCTTTCACCAATTACAATGAAAAAGTTCTACTTCCTTTATTCTTTGTGCACCCAATCTTGATTTAAACCAACTTAGATTCCAAAGAGATAGCACAGTGGCACTTCCCTTTAAAGGTTTAATTTTTTAATTTTATTTTTTGTGATCAGGTATGTGAACTATTTTTATACTTATCTTAACTAACTCTGGCAAAGTCTATTGGGATCATTGAACACTTCACAAGCTTAATGGATCATTAAGTCACAATATAGAGTATCATTTAGTGGACTCGCACACAAGATTTTCGGGTAATCTAAGGTGGGCCATTTGTGGAAGTCGAACACAAGATCTCTGGGTAATTTAAGGCTGTCATCCGGTCCCACGTCAAATGGTTAAGTTTTATTTTATCGTTAAAATTTTCTAAATGTCCTATGGATTTAGAGGTTTTTTTTTTTTAATGAGAAATTATAAAATACCCTTATGTAATGCTGGAAATTTTTAATTAGGTAATTACTTTACAACTATTTTTAAATATTAAGATAACTTATACTTAAAAGAGGCAAAGACAAAGATTCTATAGAATCTCCACTAAAGAAGAATATTTCTAAACGCTTACACAAAAAAAAAATCCAAAACTTTATTCTTTAATTATGATTTATTCAATTCATTCTAGAATTTTCATAAATTTAATATGAATATATATATAAGATTAAAATTCCCACCAGTGGAAATGTGGAATAAGTATAACGATGAAAAGAACAGAACAGACCTAGACCAAGACAATTAATTCCAGAACAGGAGGTGAGCTTCGTCGCATGTTCCGAACTCATGTTCCATGTCCATACTTTCTCTTCTTCGCGCCTATATAACCCGTGAGACCCTAAATCTCTCCGCGATACTCAACTTAATTCTCTCTCCTTTTCACTCTTCATCACCAGGGCTCAAGCTGAAGCTCAACCTGAACCTCAAATTCAAGTTCAGTCACAGGTCCTCCACCCTTCGACCCATCAAAGCCGTCCGTTCCCATCTCCTATCCGATCAAAACCCTCAAAGACCTTAAGTCTCTCGCGTTTACTTTGACTCCTTTCCCTACCCTTTTAACAAGTCCAGTGTTTCTTCCAAATGCGGCGTTTCAGCTACCGAACCGGCGCAGATCTTGGTTTGCCATGACATGCAAGGTGGTTACGTGGATGATAAGTGGGCCCGGTGGGACCATGGCTGACGCGTACGCCATCTGGCATTGGTACCTGTTGGATATTTTTGTTTATTTTTCACATAATTTGGTCACTTTGCCACCTCCTTGTTGACTATACAGCTCACAGCCATGGCGTTAAGGTAATTTTTTTTTTTTTTTTTATTTATTTTTAATGTTAATGTTTTTAATTGCTAAAGAATTGAATGCGCTTAATTTCAGCAAGTTTAATTGAACATACAAGCTGAATTTCAGAATTTTGAGATAGTTCTTATTGAATTTCACCAGTTGTATGCAAAAATGCCTTGCTTTTTTCAATAATTTTTTACTTATTGTTTGTGAAATTTGTTGCAAGCTTATTTGTGGGTATTGTTAAGTGTTCATTTTGATTTTATTGTTCATGTTTCAGCGTTGAGTTGGTTATACATTGAATCACAAGTTTTTAATTATTTTTTTTTTTTTTTTTTTTGGTTGGGGGGGGGGGAGGAGTACTTGGGTGGTCTGAAATTTATGTTAATGCTAGTATGTTTTTTTAGAAATAGAATTAAAATCTGCTTAATTTGAGTGAGTTAATTGAATATATAAGCTCGATTTCAGAATTTTGAGCAAGTTCTTTTTTGAATTTGACTAGTTATATGCAAAATGTATTGTTTGTTTGCTTGAGATTTTGATAGTCTACTTTGTTCTCAATGTGTTTGAGGGAAAAAAGAAAAGAAATGACGGCTGAAGAGATTTGTATTGAATATGATATTCTTGCTTGTGTCCATGGAATTGAAGGTACTAGGGACTTTTATCTTGGAATGGGATGAAGGAAGTATTATAGCCAATGAATTGCTCTCAACAAAGGAGTCTACTCACTTGTATGCTGAGCGCTTGGCAGAGCTTGCTTCTAAATTAGGGTTTGATGGGTGGCTGGTATATTTTCTCTTACCAAATTTGCATCTTTTCAATTTTATTCTAGCTTTGGGCAGTTCTATCTACTACATAGAGTCATTTACTTTTAAAATTTCTTTGCTAATATTATAAGCAGAAAGTGCTTTTCCTTAAAATCTTGATATAAATATAAAACAATGTAAATGGAGAACGAAATCAAGTTTACTTCAAGGTTATAACTTTTTTCTTGCATGCATTTGTGTGTGTGTGTTTGGGAGTCCCATCTGTTGCTGACTAAGGAACTGTTGTACTTGCAGCTTAATATGGAGGTTAAATTGGATGTAAAGCAAATTCCTAATATGAAAGAATTTATCAGCCATTTAACACAGACTATGCACTCCTTAGTGCAGGGATCTTTGGTTATCTGGTGAGTTCAGGACTTAAAGTGTATACAACATGTCCGGTCACTTGAATTTGATGTTGCTTTGAACCAAAATTAGTTTCTATTTGCTGGATAATTGTCGCGTTGCAGGTATGATAGTGTTACAGTTGATGGGGATCTTAGCTGGCAAGATCAACTGAACGAAAAAAATAAGCCTTTCTTTGATCTCTGTGACGGCATATTTGTAAACTATACATGGAAGGTGAAGCCTTGTTTTCATCTCCCATAAGAAATATTTTATTGTTGTCTCTTAATAAAAATTTTATTGGGTGTCATGCAGGAAAACTACCCGAAGCTTTCAGCAGCAGTTGCTGGTGATAGACGGTATGATGTCTACATGGGAATAGATGTATTTGGAAGGAACACTTATGGTGGTGGAAAATGGAACGTATGTGTGCCATTGATTTTATGTGTTAGTGAATCTTTGTTATATAATTTGACTTTTTTGTTGGTTCTTGTGATTCCTATTCAATTGATTCTGGGAAAGGTATTATGCAAATATGATTTCACTATGCATTTTTGCTTTTTCTTCGTAGTTAATGTCTGACTATATGTCCTCAGTGAGCAAGTACCATTATTCAAACATGAATATTGTGTTTGGATTAAAGAAAAAAAAATGTTTGGTTTATCTTATTCAAATTTTCACATTTCTCTTCTAATGTTTGATTGGTGGATATGATTTCAAAATTCAAGACATATGCAATATTTGAAAACTAAATATGCATCATTGCTGCTACCAAATTGCATTGTGTCCGACATTATTCCTTGTTCACGTGCATAACTACAGTAAGTGTCATCATCCCTGCCAATGACCTGCTACTGTTGTCCAATATATCATTGTGCACTCTAAGACTCTTGTACCATCTGCGGTGCTACAAAAAAGATAAGTTTAACTTTTGTAGACTAAGTTGAACCAAAGTGACCTAATCTTATCAGTGGTCTGGTTTAAGTTATGTGCTTTATTGTTGTTATTACTTTTGTTCTTAAATAAGTAGTGAAATCATTTCAAAGTGCCATGTAATATGGATTCTTGACTCTTTGCTTACTAGAAATGAGCTGAACTTGATTTGCAAAATAAGGATGATGACATGAGCTATAGATTAAGTTTAGCTAATGAACTGGTGGTTTGAATTATTATATATTCCTGTTTTATCTATTGAATTTGAGTGGCAGCTGGAGTTTTTTTTGTTAATTATAAAATTCTTTGTATATCAGACAAATGTTGCGCTTGATTTGCTAAGGAAGGATGATGTGTCAGCTGCCATATTTGCTCCTGGATGGGTCTATGAGACTAAGCAACCACCTGATTTTGAGACTGCCCAAAATCGGTAACACTTGTCTCTAGTTAAGAATTTTATGAATTTGATCTTATATATTGAGGTTGATATTTAATGATAAGTTCTTTTCTTAGTGTGTTATTTATTCTTTTGACTATGCTATGGACATGCTAGACTTTCCTGTTGCATAATGCTTTGACATGCCAAGTTCACCATCTCAAGATTTCCACCTTTCTTTCCCTTTTTGGTTCCATGTATGAAAGCATTGTTACAGTCTGAAGACTAATCTCCATCTGAGCTTTTGATATATATACAAATTTTAAGTACGATTGCATTACCATAGAAGGTAATACCATGTGGGACTGACACCACATGGACCCTTTTGCTGTGTGACAAGAAATATGAGAATAGATTTCTAAATTTTTTTAGCTAAGCCTAAAAAGTTATTTTAATTGCCCAGTCAACAATCCTTTACTTCTACCAGGAGCAATCTTCAACAATGACTCTTTCCGTCTGTTTATACTGTTTAGATCATCTTTTACTGCAATTTTTCTTTTAGTAGTATGATTCATACATGTTTGTATGTTCAAGTATCCTGTGAGTCTTACACAACTGTTGGTGAGGTCATTTTTGTATGCCTTGGTTTTGCAGTTGGTGGTCCCTTGTTGAGAAGTCATGGGGGATTCTACAAAAGTATCCAAAAGCTTTGCCATTCTACACAAACTTTGATCAGGTTGCAACTATGTTGAACTTGTTTATTTCTTACATGTCACTATGCTAAGACTATGCTAAGAATTCGGCATCTGAAAGCAACTGGCATAAGTTACCTCTAAAACATTATTATCAAGATGTTTTTATCAATCACCTTTAAAACTTTGGCAGAAAGCTTTACATAAAATGAGTTACACCCTCTCTAGCATTACATTACTGCTTATCAATCTCCTGTTACTGATAAATGGAAAGAATGTTATCACCTCCCTGAAAAATGCCCTGGGTTCCCTGTAGTGGCTGCTAAAAGTCAGTTTGATTTTGGCAAACATAATAAAGGGACAATCCATTGGGTGGATCTCATCTCTGAGATCGCGGTAAAAAACATCTGTTTGTTTATTCATTTTGGCTGGTTTGATTCTAACCAACCGGTAAGCAGGTGTGAAACATAGTATGTTGTTTTAAAAATATTAATACAAAGAGTTGGAATTCGGTGAAGACACTTGTGGTCAATTAAAATTTGGCATACTTTGTTTCAATTGCAGATTGTGGGATCTCAGTATGCCTGTTCCGTAAATGCTGACTGTCACCACTATTGTGCAGGGACGTGGTTTACATATTTCTATTGAGGGAGGACAAGTATCAAATGCTTCTTGGAATAACATTTCTTCCCAAGGGTTTCAGGTATGGCCTGAGTGGATATGATTGTCTTCTGTACATTGTATAGAATTGAACATACAACTGAATATATTGATTTGCAATATTACAATATATTTTTGGTATGTTACTCATGTTGATCTTGTTAGCCAGCTTTTTCAATCTTTAACTTTCTAATGTAATTTTGGCAGCCTTTTCTTAAGTTTAATGATGATCCCAATTCAGATACCATTCAAGTTCTAGTCGAGTAAGTTTTAACATCGTGTATCTCTCATGTAGTGTAATTTCTTGCAGACTTCTTAAAATGTTCATTTTTACTGATAGTACGAGACATGCTATATGATTTAGTTATGTGTAGAATGCTTTAAGTTCTAAAGCATTAGCTATTAAAACCTGATTTTAGAATATTTTGAATTTATCTGTGAAGCTTCATATTTCATATCTTATCTTGCAAGTTAAAAGAATTTGTGTGAGTCTCTAAGGATCAATAATTATCTCCTACACGCCTTGCATAGTTCATTTTCCCTTTTGTCATAACCTGTATGTATATTCATATATACTTTTCAATTGATTTTATTTGTCAAATTTTGCCTAAGTTAAACATACATTTTGTAAATTTAGCTTCAAAGAAGCATCTTATAGCGGAGGAGGGAACCTCACATTTAAAGGAACTCTTGAAAACAATGCCCAGTTCACTGCAAGGCTCTTTGAGGGAGAGCTTCTTTTGGGGGATTCACCTGTCCACTTCTCATATTCTGTAAGCTAATTCTTCTATGGATTAAGGTTACTGTACTAGGGGAAAATGCTAAGATTATATCAATGTCCTTATATTACTCTGACAATATGCAGATGACAGACATATCTAAATTAAAGGATATTGAGCAGCTAGAAACTAAATCTTATAATATACAGCCATCGTTTTTCTACTGTTATCTAGACTCACTGTGAGCAGTGCAATTACTGTAGGTGAAATCAAAAGAAAATTCTCTACTGGGCCTTATTGTGGAGTTCTCTTCTGCCACAGAAGAAAAAAAGAGAGTTTTTGTTACAGCTAAGCGAACGGATCAATTCTCAGGAAAATTCAGTCATAACATTGTGCCATATCAAATTCAAAAGGCTTCAGGATGGCTCATACTGGAGGGTGGAATTGTAAAGAATGGAGACATAATAACAGGAATTAGTGCTGTATGTTACAGGCCAGATCCTGTAGATTTAGCTCACGGTCCTGCAGAATATTTTGCAATGCTTGGTCACCTCACGGTTAAAACTGCAGGACAGAGTTCACACTTCCCTCCATCTAGTTCATGGCGTGTCGAGGGTGAATATATTGAATGGACTTCAGGTTCTCAGGGTTCCAAAAATCTTAGTATGAAGATCAGCTGGGGATTATTGGAGAGGATATTCTTGCAGTACCCAAAGTATAATGTCTATGTCGAGAAACTCAGAGAAGAAACCTTTCAAAACCGACATGGAAGACGAGAAGGGGCGCACAAGTATCTTGGGGTTGCACACGTACAAGCCTTTTATGTTTCTAACCTCACCGTTCCTTCTGGCATTGCCAGTCTCAAGTTCATTATTCAACCATGTGATAATGACGGATCAATCCAGAAGCTGGATGATTCTCCATTTTTTCAGCTTGATGTTTGATCATGAGTAATGTTAATGCAATGTTTCCACTTCATATGTACTATTTGTCCCTGAAAAGGGTTGATTAATATTTACTTATATCTGCCCAACTAATATCAGAACAATAAAGTTGGCCATAATAAATTTCTCTTTGCAAAATCTGATGTTGAATTTCCCAGCAATGTTTACTGATCTTTGCTTAACTGCTCCTAATTAAAGTTCTGCAGTCTGCTACAGAGCAAGCATTATTTTTACTGGATTTCAAAACGAGGAAAATATGAAAATTTTGAATTCATGGAGTTCCCAAGAAATTGTGTAGAGAAAATTATATATACAACTTTGACTATGCAAAGTTACGATCCTTTTACAAGGTTTTTTTATGTACACCCCTCAAGTTTAGTAAAAAACAGGAGACTAACATATTTCAGAATAGAACACTTACACCTTGTAATGAATGATGTTTGTGAAAAATAACCATTTATATTTGATTATTGACAAATAGGGTATATTAGTCATTGTGATTTTTCATCCGAATAAACTTTTCAGGTGTAAGTGTTTCTTCTAAAACCTGTAGAACTCCTTGTTCTTTCACTAACATCAGGGGTGTCCTGTAAAAGCCTACATTAATAAATATTTAACTACCTATAGATTAGTCATCATTCTATGATTTTAATCAATTCAGGGAGCTCAAGATGATACTATTTCTTTTTTATTTTTTTCTTTGTTAAATTCATGGATTAATTAATTAATGATAATGTTGATGCTTGATTTTGACACCACCTATTCGCATGTGGGAAATTTGAGCGACTCAGAAGTCTCACTGATTATGGAAGTATTGCTAATTCAAAGGTGAAGAACAATGTTTAGTGGTTCGGATGCTCACAAGGCGAATCCTACTCCACTGGTATTATATTGATGAATAAAGTCAGGTCGCGTTCAACGAACTGATTTATGGCTTAGAAATACAATAGGGAGAGAGAGAGAGAGAGAGAGTATGCTATTTCAAAGAAAAAGTAGTCATCAGTATGCTATTTCAAAGAAAAAGTTAGTCAATCCCACAACGGAGGAGAGCCTTCTATTTATAGTGGATGAATTAAGTAATGATTATAAATCTGCAAGTGGGGCAAATGTCCATGACTCCTTCTTTGCGTCCCATTACTACCACCTGCCCGAGTGATTTCCTCACTGTGTAGGGATTGGACATGTGACCTTTTTTAGCCTTTCACCAACCTGCGTATCCTATCACTAACAAGACATGTGTCTCAGTCACCACGCGATGTGGCTACATCTGGTGGTTATAGAACTTTCTTAAGCTCTAACCATCTATGCTGACAAGCTGATGTCAGCCTATTTTTCTAGGCATAACAGATAATAAATAAATAAAAAAGGGAATTAAAATTGAGAGGAAAAACAAACAAACAAAACAACCTTGTTGTTGGAAGTATTACCTCGAGCCCTCAAAGAAAAGAAAAAGGTACACCTCCTTTCTTGTCTCCATAAATTATCAAAGCAGAAGTTGATAGCAAAAGGGCATGTTATTTTTGTCTGGTTATAGTGATTTATTAATTTAATTTTTGATTGTTGTTTGATTATCACTTTCATCAACTTCATTTGACTCTTTCACTTCCTTTGTCGAATCCACCATGGAAGTTTCATGTACTCGCGCCGAATGGTTCTAATTTCTAGAATTTCCTGGACAAATTTGTCTCTTTTGTGTATATAAAATTAATCTAGATCGAATTTGCCGCAAATCAAACCCTATCTCATATTTAGAATTTAAATTGTCGGGTTAGTTGTATCAAGTATATATATAAAAATCAGTGAATTTAAATCCACGATTAGATTTATAATACGATACACAATAATATACAATATTACAAACTAATACTTAATTATAACCATACTCAATTAGTACCTAGAGCGGAAACAAATTACGTATCAATAATTGTTGTTAACAAAAGAATAGAATCGCTCGCATCGAAGAATTTTCTACTAATTATCGTCATTTGTGAAAGGTAATCACAAATATGTAGCATGCAAAATTATTGGAAATTTTGATATTTCATGATACACGTTTTGAAAAAGAAATCAAACTAAACTTTCCTTGATAATAAATATCAAATTAATTTCTTATACAAAGTCAAAAACTATAACCAACATAGAAATTTAAGTGGGTTACAAGACTCTCATGTATATGAACAGTTATGGAGTCCATATTATATGTTTTAAATCAGTAAGTAAATTAACATGATCTCAGTGGAATTTTTGATAATTTCAAACTTACTATTGAGAAATTATAATTATATTATATGATTTATATATTCTATAATCAAACTAATGTTACAGCTAAAAATTGCTTCAATAAAAGCTGGATTTGATAAGTGGATGGATTGATGGAATGGTGATATTGAAACAAAACCTAAAATTAAATGAGGAATCTTTCAGTCAGTTCTTGTCCCTTTGTTTTTCTCTCTTACCATCTAAAACTATTACTTTGATTCGACACATACTTGTATAAGAGATGGATTTAGATTAATATATATTATTTTAATTTAATTAAATTAAATTAAACTAAACTTCAATACTACTACTTCTTCCATGACCTCCCACTTCCTCCCACTGCCCCACGTGAACTCACTAAACAATTTTTGACATAATGCCACCTCCCCCTTCTATTCTTAATTATTATTTGATTAACCATTATATTAATCCTTTCTTCATATTAACTTTGATTTTTTTTTTTTTTTTAACTGGGGTCTGGCCAGCTTGTGTACCTAACTAATCTCTCAGGATCCTGTAACTACATTAAGTAATCCTCCAATGTTATCGTATTAGCAACCGAGAAAAATCAAACTGATCAGGACCTCTTGATAATATACCTCAAAGTTCTTATTCGATCACTCGCTAAGTAAGGCTTAACTTTGATTTTAATGAATACAAAATTATGTTTAGCTTTTAATAGCATAACGATACCTTCAAAACTCTAGACAAGTCTCAAGTAGAGCGAGGATTCAAATTCAATTTGATGTTAAATTTGTCATCACATGAAAAAGGTCGAAAAACCAACAACAAATATATCTCTATCGTAACCTAATTGATAATTTTTTTTTTTTTTTTTTGATAATCGGGATGTTTAATTAGTTCACGCACCATCAACTAATCTTCCAAACCTAAAGTTAATGACCAATAATCCTCAATGGTCATCCTATAGCAACCAGAGAAATCAACCAAAATCTTTTGAGTAATACATCCCAGAATCCTTATTCGACCACTCGGCAACCTAAGGTAATGCTTAACTTTGATTTTAATGAATACAAAATTTATTTTAGCTTTTAATGGTTATTAATATTTTCAAAACTCTAGACAAGTCTCAAGATGGAGCGGGGATTCAAAATCAGTTTGAATGTTAATTTTGTCATCAATGAAAGATACGACAAAAGGTCGAAAAACCAACCAAATATATCTCTATCGTAACCTCTTTAATGATAAAAGGGTTTCATAAAATAGTTCTTTCTTTGATCGATCATTGTATATAGCACAAGAACAGTAATTAAATCGCCGTAAATAATTTATTAATTACTAAGAATTTATGTCACAGATTGTTTAATTTAGAAGTCACCGACCTTTTTGGCTTATACAAGTTTATTACTTAATTAATTAGCTTAATTAAACTAAGTTTAAAGTACTCAGAAATTTCTAAGTTACTTCAGCTCTCACATGCTATAGTTGACTCCATCCACTTACTCTTGTTTTGAGACAAATTCTTCTGTATCTCTTTACCTTTATATGATTTGATTATTCTATTTCGATCATCGTCAGAGTCGTCAACAAGAAGCAGAAACAAAAATGGACTTCACTACTTGTCAATGGTGGAGAGATTAAGAAGACTAATTAACAATGATTTAAGGCATAAAGCCAAAAGAAAATTTAAAAAGTTAATTTATTAAGAAACCATGTCGTGTCCAAAGAAGCTCTCTCTAACATTGCTAGAAGAAGCAAAATTCAGGTACTGATGAGGAAGATTGTTCTGGAGAAGAGACGGCTTGTGGTCTGGGTCGACTTCTTCTATTTGTGGAGTCGGCATGATGGGGTCTTGCTGCATCTGGATGCATAACATCTCCGCTTGAGCCACGGCCAGTTGCATTTGCAGCTGAGAAACCTGGTTTTGCAGAAAAGAAATGGCCCCAACGCATCCGTAAACGGGGTCTCTCACTCGCGCATTCGCTTCGTACACCAAACTGCTCACTGCATCCGCTCTCTGGTGAACCGGAAGCTCCTGCAATTTTTATATAACAACAGAAGTTAATATAACTTGAAAGAAACTATAATGTTATTCTTTTCAAACAAGAAAAAAATATAGAGAAGAGGACCTGCAACATTTTGCTGACGTTACTAGCGCCGAAGACTTTGTGAACAATGGCGAACTTGTGAGGGTCATCGGAGGGAAAGTAAGGGGCGAAGATACAGTCTTTAGCGCAACGGCGACGGAGCAACTTGCAGGAGGCGCATGGAGAATTTCCACCCATATTTTTTTGATATGTGAAAAAACCTGTAACTCTAGCTTGGTGAAGAAGAGGAAGAAGAATTATAAGGAGAAAAGAAAGTGGTTTGAATTTAGGCGTAGGTTGAAGAGAAAGAGAGGCAGAGAGTGTGCATATTTATAATAGGTGAGAACGTGTGTGAGCTCTGGAGTGTACGATAGATCAAAGGCTAATTAATAAATTAATGAAGTTGGGTTATTGTTGATTAATTATTCTGATGATCTAAGAGAGGAGTTTTCAAGACAGAAAGATTTCCAAGTCCTGTTAAGCATGTTAGAGATCAACCCAATTATCTAACCATCAGTGGCTGGTCTGATGATAAAAAAACAAAGGAGAATTTAAGTTTATATGGTCTCTCAAGTTCAAGTCCCTACAAGTTACAACTGCTAATAAGGATAACTATTGAAACTCATATCTGGCCGATAATTTTAGGGTCCTAAGAGAATTAGACAAGGTATACTGCACAAACTAGTCTAGACACCCTCCGTCATAAAAAAAAATAAAAATCAACCCAGTTATGGACAAGCTAAATTAACTGTATAAAAAGAGACAAAATTAAATGGGGTCTCACATAATTAATCTCAAGCAATTTGTAACCACACAAAAAAGTAAATATTTGGAGTGAGGGATGGGGGTTTCATCATCAAAAATGAAATTAGGCTTCACTGAACCAAATGCAGGGTTGACTTGATTCTAACCAAAGCGTGTGTTAGGTTGGAAAAGATAGAATTAGATTATTATCAACAGGTTGTGTATATGGCTTCCACGTCCAGTTTTTAAATTAATGAAAAAGAGAGCAGCTATAAATAGGCTTGGTTTGAGTGAGGTTTGTTTATGGCGATGGGAACTCAACCCTAAATCGAGAAACCAAGACGAAGACCAAATTAAGAGGATCGATGAATGATATAAGATTAAGAGAAGAAGAGGCTCAACGTGAATGTCTGTTAGGCACACAGACATTCACGTGAAACACAAACAAAGACAACCCCTCTCTCTCTGCCTTAACCCACATGGTTTGACCCAAATCATTGATTACATCAAACAATGTTTGTTTTATTTTTGTGGAATGTAAAAGGGATCAATCTGGTGCTTTCGTGCATCCAAAATATACATCATCTCAATTACTTACTATTCTTCTTTTCTTTGGCTATTGTTAAGCTCGCTCTTTTTTTCTTTTCTAATGACTATGGTGTCCGGACCAATTTATATGTATTTCAATTAACTCTTCGAGACCTTAAAACTATCGGTCAAGTAAGAGCTCCAGTAGTTATCTCTATTAGCAACCGGCCACCTAAAATCTTGATCAAATTCATGTCTACTAATCAAGATAAATTATGGTAATTTTCATCTCAATACTTATTATTCTTCTTTTCTTTTGCTAATGTTAAGCTCGCTCTTTTTTACTTTTTTAATGACTGTGGTGTTCGGACCAATTTACGTGTATTTCAATTAACTTTTCCAGACCTTAAAACTATCGGTCAAGTAAGAGCTCCAGTGGTTATCCCTATTAGCAACGGACCACCCAAAGTCTTGATCAAATTCATGTCTACTAATCAAGATAAATTATGGTAATTTTAAGATCTATAGCAAATTATCTTCGAAGCAATTTTCTAGAACAAATAAAATCTTTTAATATGAAGAAAATTTTTAATGTTTGTATGTATCTGAGAATTTTCATTTGACATTTATTGTCTATTAATGAAATTAATGATTAATTATTAGATAAATAACTTAAAAGGTATTGATGCTAAAATTCGCATCAACAAGAAGTACGTAGGTTCCTGTAGATGCAAAAAATCTATCGTCATGAAAATAGGGTGTGATCCCGTGAGGTTGAGGTCACTGACAATCCATTAGACCTGCACACATGAACGGGCAAGCGTGAAGCTTCCGGAAAACACCAAGTTGGTGTTTGTCGTAGGCACCCCGACGCTCAAGTCAGCAAGGCTGAAAGAGATTTAATAAGAATTAAGGAGAAGAAGAATTACCAGGAGTCTTGTCGGAGGCTAGGACTACGGCGGAGGCGTCGGGTTCTTGGCCACCGAGAAAAATCAAAATGATCAGGACCTCTTGAGTAATATACTCAAATCTTATTGATCACTCGACGTAATGTTAACTTTGATTTTAATGATACAAAATTTATGTTAGCTTTAATAGCCATAACAACCTTCAAAACTCTAGACAAGTCTCAAGATAGGACGAGGATTCAATTCAATTTGAATGTTAAATTTGTCATCACATGAAAAAAGGTCGAAACCAAAACAATATATATCTCTATCGTAACCTAATGAGGAATTTTTTTTTTTTTTTTTTTGATAATCGGGGATGTTAATTAGTTCACGCACTCAACTATCTTCTAAAACCTTACAGTTAATGACAATAATCTCCTAATGGTCATCCTTATGCAAAGAGAGAAATCAACCAAAATCTCTTTGAGTATAAATCCCAGAATCCTTATCGACCACTCGGAACCAAGGTAATGCTTAACTTTGATTTTAATGAATACAAAATTTATGTTTAGTTTTGATGTTATTAATATTTTCAAAACTCTAGACAAGTCTCAAGATGGGAGCGGGGATTCAAAATCAGTTGAATGTTAATTTTGTCATCAATGAGAAGATACGACAAAAGGTCGAAAAACCAACCAAATAATCTCTATCGTAACCTCTTTAATGAAAAAGGGTTTCATAATAGTTCTTTCTGTTGATCGACATTGTATATAGCACAAGAACAGTAATTAAATCGCCGTAAATAATTATAATTACTAGAATTTATGTCACAGATTGTTTAATTTAGAAGCCACCGACCTTTTTGGCTTTACAAGTTTATTACTTATAATTACAATAAATGTTTAAAGTATCGAAATTTCTAATTTACTTCAGCTCTCACATGCTATAGTTGACTCCATCCACTTACTCTTGTTTGAGACAAATTCTTCTGTATCTCTTTACATTTTTATGATTGATGATTACTATTTCGACACTCGTCAGAGTCGTCAACAAGAAGCGAAAAAAAATGGACTTCACTACTTGTCAATGGTGGAGAGATTAAGAAGATAATTAACAATGATTTAAGGCATAAAGCCAAAGAAAATTTAAAAAGTTATTTATTAAAAACATGTCGTGTCCAAAAGCTCTCTCTAACCTTGCTAGAAGAAGCAAATTCGGTACTGAGAGGAGAGATGTTCTGGAGAAGAGACGGCTTGTGGTCTGGGTCGACTTCTTCTTTTGTGGAGTCGGCTTCTTGTCTCCATAAATTATCAAAAGCAGAAGTTGATAGCACAAAGGGCATGTTATTTTTGTCTGGTTATAGTGATTTAATTAATTTAATCTTTTGAGTTGTTGTTTGATTATCACTTTCATCAACTTCATTTGACTCTTTCACTTCCTTTGTCGAATCCAACCATGGAAGTTTCATGTACTCAGCCGAAATGGGTCTAATTTCTAGGAATTTCCTGGACAAATTTTGTCTCTTTTGTGTATATAAAATTAATCTAGATCCAATTTGCCGCAAATCAAACCCTATTCATATTTAAGAATTTAAATTGTCGGGTTTAGTTGTATCAAGTATATATATAAAAAATCATGTGAATTTAAATCCACGATAGATTTATAAATACGATACACAATAATATACAATATTACAAACCTAATACTTAATTTATAACCATACTCAATCTAGTACCTAGAGCGGAAACAAATTACGTATCCGAATAATTAGTTGTTAACAAAAGAAATATGAATGCTCGCATCGAAGAATTTCTTCTACTAATTATCGTCATTTGTGAAAGGTAATCACAAATATGTAAGCATGACAAAATTATTGGAAATTTTGATCATTTCATGATACACGTTTTGAAAAAGAAATCAAACTAACTGTCCTTGATAATAAAATATCAAATTAATTTCTTATACAAAGTCAAAAATCTATAACCAACATAGAAATTTAAGTGTGGTTACAAGACTCTCATGTATATGAACAGTTATGGAGTCCATATTATATGTTATTAAATCAGTAAGTAAATTAACATGATCTCAGTGGAATTTTTGATAATTTCAAACTTACTATTGAGAATTATTTAATTATATTATATGATTTATAATAATTCTATAATCAAACTTAATGTTACAGCTAAAAATTGCTTCAATAAAAAGCTGGATTTGATAAGTATGGATGGATTGACTTAGGAAAACCCTAAAATTAAATGAGGAATCTTTCAGTCAGTTCTTGTCCCTTTTGTTTTTCTCTCTTCACCATCTAAAACTATTACTTTGATTCGACACATACTTGTATAGAGAGATGGATTTAGATTAATATTATATTATTTTAATTTAAATTAAATTAAATTAAACTAAACTTCAATACTACTACTTCTTCCCATGAACTCACCACTTCCTCCCACTGCCCCACGTGAACTCACTAGAACAATTTTTGACATAATGCCACCTCCGCCCTTCTATTCTTAATTATTATTCTGATTAACATTAATTGAGATCCTTTCTTCATATTAACTTTGATTTTTTTTTTTTTTTTTTGGTAACTGGGGACTCGCCAGCTTGCATGTACCTAAATAACTATCTTCAGAATCCTGAAGTAACAATTAAGTAATCCTCCAATGGTTATCCGTATTAGCAACCGAAAAAAATCAAAAGATCAGGACCTCTGGAATATACACTTCAAATTCGTTATTTGATCACTATGGCCACTAAGGTAATGCTTAACTTTGATTTTAGAATACAAAATTTATGTTTAGCTTTTAATAGCATAACAATACCTTCAAAACTCTAGACAAGTCTCAAGATAGAAAAGAGGATTCAAATTCAATTGAATGTTTAAATTTGTCATCACATGAAAAAGGTCGAAAAAACCAACCAAATATATCTCTACGTAACCTAATGATGAAAATTAGTTTATTTTTTTTTTTTTTTTTGATAATCAGGGATGTTATATCAGTTTACACGTATCTCAACTAATCTTCCAAAACCTCGAAGTTAATGACCAAATAATCCTCCAAGGTCATCCGTAATAGCAACCAAGAGAATCAAACCCAAAATTTTTGAGTAATACTCCAGAACTTATCGACCACTCGG